TCTCATTACCCCCTGCGATCCTCCCCTCCTCCTCCTGCGGATCCAGCCAGAGGATGAGGTAAGCACCGTGCTTCATCCCCGAGACGCCGGCAGTGTATCTGCTCCTTCTGCCGGCCAGGGAATGGCAGGGCATTAAAAGATGGCACAAACCCTGGGTCCTGTTGTCCCCTCGTCCCTCCACAGAGCGCTGGCGGTCGGGCCAGCAGCCGGCACGCTGAGCACAGGGGTGCCCAAAGCGTTACAGAGGTGCTTGCGCCCGTGTTTCAGCAGCCTGTGTCGCAGCAGCCCCTGCAGCCAGGCTGCTGTGGGGCCACAGCTCTTCCCCGTCTCGCCACGCAGTGCAGACATTTTCTAATGAGTTGTATAAGCGTATGCACGAACCATGCGGTCCCATCCCAGCAGCAGAGGCTCCTTTCTGACAGCAGAAGGGCCAGTCTCCAACCACGCAGCCACAAAAGCAAGGAGAATAAATCTTCATCACGTGCACAGGAGACAAGGCAAGAAGCAACGGACTTAAACTGTCATGAGGGAGATTTAAGCAAGAGACTAGAAACGCTTCCTCATGGTGATGACAGCTTTTCTGGAGGTTATGAAATGTCCATCAGATGCTGTCAGGAATGGGCTGCAGTGAGCTGCTCCCCCTCTGGGGCGAGGATAGCTGCTTTCTCATGATTCTGCCTGCCCGGGCTTCGCTCTCTAGACTGGAAGCACTTCAGGGCAGCACCAAACACTGTGAGCCCCGATCCTCGCTGGGACAAGAGCCAAGGCACCTTTGTGCACAGCAGCACACTCAGCGTTGTAAAAGGAGATGAAAGTGTTCACAAAAAACTTCTCTTCTGCACTTGGGGAGAAGCTAGGAGTCACGTTGCAGGCTCCTCTGCCCCAGCCCTGCCTCCAAATGATGCTTATTAGTAGCTACAATACCTAAAACTTCTGTGATCATCTGAGTAATTTTCACCAGAAGAGCTTCACGTGGAATTAGGCAAAGAGCTTCCCTGAAGCATTAATGCTCATTTTCCAGAAACAATCAGGCAGCTGGAGAAGTCCCAGAGCACTGCAGGAAAACAAGCTGGCTGATCCTTCAAAAAAGTGAAGGGGTGCAGGGAAATTCAAGGCCTCAAAAAGACACTGATCAAAATGCTCAAGAATTAAGGAAAAAACATCATTAGTGGCAATTAATATGGATTTGTGTAACGTCTGTGATTTGATGGGGACAGGAGCTTGGAAAGGGGCAGCAGTGCTCTTGTACTATGGTACCTTCCACAAGGCATCCAACTGCAGCTTTGTAAAGAAACAAAAAAGGAACAATATTGAAATAACACTCGGACAAAAAAATGCCTTAGTACTGGAAATGACATCGTGAACAGGGACTCAGCAAATCTTCTGGTGAATTATTCCAAGATTAGTTCCCAATTTGAAAGAGAACACAACTGAGTTTGGAGGAAAGAGGAATAGTGATACCAGCTGCGGATATTGCCAGGTAAATTGGGAATAACTGATAGTTCAGTGTAATGGAAATACAGCTCTCAGAATAACTCTCCACATGTTAATTCCTCATAACCTTTGGTAGCAGCTGCAAATCCCTACAACTTCACACACAAAACCTCCTGCAGGCCAGCTCCAGCTGCCTGCTCCCCCTTCTCCCCGCAGCCCTGCCTGCACATGGAGCAGGCAAGCGCTCTTTTCCCCATCAAACCTGCGGGACAGCTGAACATTCAACACATATATCCCAGTTACATTACCATGCAACACGCCACTGGCTCACCTGGTATTTCTGGGAACCCGGTAGGTTCCCAAATGCTATGTTGATAGATTTATTGAGCTTAAAAACACCCAACTCTAACTGCAGTGACTAAAGAATCAATATGTGTCAAGGCAGGGGCAAGTGGATCTTCTCTAGTTACACCAGCTGGTGAATAAGGATGGACTTGGTGTGTAAGAATTTTTACCCACCTTATTTTTTAATATTATTTTAATTTGCATCTCTTCTTTGGAGAGCACAGGAAGGGCTAGGGGCAAAGGATGTAACAGAAACAATAAATGGTGAGTAAATATTTTTAAATGTAAGTACTTAAACTGATTTAAATCAAGCCGCATACAGCTGCTGTGTTTGGGACACAAATGTTTCATCTAGAGATCGGAGGGGGTGTCAGGATGGTTCTGAAATTTCTAGAAACAACCCAGACTTACAGACCTTACAACACGCAAGAGACCTCTCCAAATGCTGTGGACAGGTGTGAGTCCAAGGCAGAGACATTTATTAGATACATAACTGTAAAATAATTTGCACATTTATAGGACAGACTGCATTTGGTAAATCATAACTAACATAACGTAGACTTATTTTCAAATAAAGAGGCTAAACCACATCTTCTGCTGAGAACAAACGCTAAGTGCAATTTCACTGGTAGGCACACTTATTAGGTAAATTAAATACAAAAGTGAGCAAGGGGATTATAATGCTTCCGTTCTAGGGGAAAAAGCGTAAGGCAAAACACAGGGCACCAGCCAGCTACTCTGGAAGGAGACTGGCAGAAGCTGTCTTGAATTTGGCCCCTGCTTTCGCAAGCTGCCTTCTCAGAGAGGTGTCACCACTGCCTTACAGGAGAGCACTGCCTGGATGTCCCAAGATCTCGTCAGCTGGTGTGTCAGTGAAAGAGGAAAGCAAAACCAGTGCACGCTGACATGCCTGGGGACAGACTGGGCTTGCCTAGCTGGAGCCGCGGATAAAGCCAATATTGTTGCATGCACTTTACAGACAATGTCTGACAACCTTCAGGGAATGAAAATCAATTATTTGTGTATAGCCACAACCCCAACACTGCTGGGGTTTGCTGCCCTCTGACTGTGGAGCAAAGCTGCCTGTGCGTCCAGCCCAAGCCAGACATCAGAGCTGTTTGTGTGACCGTCCTCGGCCCCTCTCCCAAGCTCTAAAATGCTGCAAGAAACCACTTCTTCACAGAGACCAGGAGGGGGAGAGTTAAGCCAGGCTGCTTAGAGCACATACATTATTCCTGCCCAATGCGCTTCAAGAAGCTCACAGTTTCCCGCCCCCATCCCTGAATCACAGTGCCCAGGTGTCCCAGAGTATAGCGAGGTTACACTGGGTTATACTGGGATCACAGAAAGCATCCTAGGGAGGGGGAGTTACAGCCCACATGCTGTTGTCATTGCTGAGCTACCACTAGACTGCCTGTCCTATTCCCAGGCAACCTGTAGCATCCATCCTATGTAACACTGACATAAGCAGGAGCATGCATCCAGGAAATAACATAACACGAGTCGTGATCCAGGACAGGGGCTCCATGAAAGGCTAAGGAACTCTGATAGGAAGCAGCTGAAAATGAGTCACCAGTGCATCTGATGGCCAATTCAGCAAAGGCAACCGCAGCTGTGTAACAGGAGAACTAGCCTAAGGCAGATAGCATTTGTTCACAGCACACGTCTGGATAGGACTTTGCTTCCTACCTCATAAGTGCACTGCCAGGCTGCACGGACCCCACTACAGCAGGCTATGGAACCAAGCACCAGCAGCAGCTACAGCACATGATGTTCCACCAGACAAATGCCCCTACACACAAAGATGATTAAAAAGGAGCCCCTGGACTCTCATCCATGAGGATGCTCTTGCATATGCTAGAAGAGACTCAGAACTGGTCATAGCAGAAATCTTAAAGCGGAAAAAACAGAAAAACTCCCAAGTGTCAGCAGTGATGAAGTAGCCAATATTTGCACAGATCCTGCCTTAGCACTGCCCTGGCACATCCTTGTGTCACAGGGTTGGCGAGTGGTACTGTGGTGTTAGGCAGAGGTGGTGAAGAAGCAGCCCCAAAAAGACTTGTGTTAAACCACTGCATTCTGGGAATTACCTGCCACTTTGGGCTGAGTCCAAAGCTCAGCCTTTGACTGACTTTTCCTCTGCAACTTCGTATTTCCACCATATCTGAGAAGAAGACTTGGGAAAAGTATTTTCACAGCATCACACAGTTCTGCAAGCTCTTTGTTCAGAGGGATGTCCTACAGGGAAAAATCACTACAGGTAAGCAAGCATGTGATATGATTTACCCTCCCTCAGAAAATAGATATTGCAATATATTCTGTGCTCTCTTAACCCAAGCACAGAATTCTGACACAAGGTTGTGAGACCCAGGGCTGTTAGCCAACACCACCACATTACAGGTAAGTCTGAGATTCAACAGCAGCATCCTGCTCCCAGGGCAAGAAGCAGAAGAGCTAGAGTGACGAAGATTAAACCTCCATCTATGAACACATCTTGTGAAATCACCTCAGACGTAGTCACCTACATTGTATATGAATTAGGCAAGACAAATCCCTTCTCAATAAGCAACTGACTCACTTCTCTTCTTAGAATTCAAAATAATTGCTAATTGATCCTAAAGGCATTAAGTGGCTATTGGCCTGAGACAGAGCCTCTGTTCCAGAAGTGATGCCCTTTGGTAGGCTGTATGAGATGCCTTGTGCTGAGACCTACCTGGTGACAGAGGGCTGCCTTCTCAGATCTGGCACTGTTCACAAACAGGGTAGATGTTCAAGTGGAAGTTCTTGTGCCATAGAAATGCCATTTAGCTTCATTAGAAATGGGACAGAAATCCTTTCAAAATTATTTGCATTGTCAGAGCAGAGAGCTCAAGATTCCCAAGGAATTTCTGAATTCACAGGCAACCACATTCCTCCCAGTGCCCAGCACCTTTGCACCGAGGGCTGAGCTCTGCTTCTTTCATACCCTGCTGCTGCTCAAAGCCTTAGCAATGCCCAGTTCGATGCATTCATGCACCTTGGTGCTGCTGCAAACACACAAAGTGGGGCCTGGGCACATACAGACGTGTCCATGTTTTCAAGTAGGGGGCCATTCCATATACTGCCCTTACTAAGCAGCAACAATGCTAGAGCCAGAATCCCTCTGGCAGTCCTTTGTTATTCATACACCACGCATTCAGCCTCTGCTGTCCCTTCCCTCTTCTTTCTGGTGTAACACTTACTGGCAAGTCCAGGATCTCTATGCTGGTAAAAGAGTTTGCTTGTAGAGCTTTGAGGACCCCACAGCAGCCTTCACTCTGCATGGGATTTCTGGTCATCTGCCGTCAGAAAAGAAACAGCAGGAGGGTATGTGACATGGGTTTTTTTGGTCCTTGATGGTACCAGTGGTCCCCAGTGGGTGAGATACCAGCGGGGTTTACTTAAAGTGCCGGTAACAGAGAGCCAAGGGATCTCAAGCGGCTGTCCCAGCGACACCCGCCATGCCAAGCTAGACACTAGCGCTGCAGAAATATCTTGCAGTTACCCATGCTGCAAGACATGGCAGGACAGGCTGCAGTTCACACAGTGGCAGGCTCACAGAAATGGCTGTTCACAGAGGAAAGTGCGGGACACCAACCCTCTCTCTTAATGAGAGCATACTGCAACCAGAGAAGCATGGGAGGAGACAGGCTGGGGCAAGCAGCTCCCTGATTTTGCTGTGGATTTGTTCTAAGGGGTTCCAATCCAGGACATACATGCATCAGTGATATTTAAATCTACAAAAGAGGCTTCAATACCTTCCTGGAAACGTTACTCACGTTAAGTCTTTTCAGAGCGTTGTTTTCTTTCAAGCCAGCTGCAATGTGCAGAGCTCCTTCCACCGAAATTCGGTTGTTGCTAAAAACAGATAAAAGACATGCTTCACATGCTGAGCTGCAGGTTTTCCATATCCACATTGCTCAGGCAAAGGATATGCAACCTCCTGCTTCATCCAGCACTGAAAACATGTTACATCCAGAGGGAATTTAGGGCAGCTCCTTCCAACTAAACAATTGTACTTGGGAGGTTGGCAGTGGTGAAAACCCATAGGCTGATAGAGGCAAGGCTGACATGACTCCATGCCCCCAGTAGTGAGGCTGACCCTGTATTTCCAACACACACAGACACAAATGTATGCAAGATATGTACACAGCCAGCCACATAGATCAACACAGACGGAAACACTCAACATTCACACCTTGTCCCCCTGTTTTCCCATGTTTGTCGACACCAGACCACCTGGTTTCCTTCCCTCACCCTTGGTTCCTCCCCTAAACATTCCCCAACAGCCCTTGTGCAGTCCCCAGATGCTCTTCCCCCACATCCCATAATGCATTCCACAGCCCCTTGGCAGTGACCCCAAGTTTAAGGAAAGGAATAGGGATTTGGGATGAGACCAGCAACACTAGTATTTTGTAACGCTCCCTCTTGCCTTAGGCACCTACCACACTCTGCAGGTAGGAGATCCAAGTGGCTGCTGCAGGCTTTGCCCACCACTGCAAAATGGGAGAAAATGTGCAGCAGGACCAGAGTCTGACTCACCCAACGTTGAGCTCTTCCAGCACATTGTTGGCTTTAAGAGCCTCCCCCAAAGCAGCTGCTCCATTGTTGCCAAAGCCATTGTAGGAAACATCCAGCACCTTGAGGAATATGTTTGCCTGTGGTGTGACATAAACGCACAACTGAACATCTCCCTGTCACTTGATTCAACCTTGGAGAAATATCCTGCCTATGCACTACCATCCCTTCTACTGTCCAAAAAGCAGCTGGGGCCTTGTTCCACTAGTCCTTGGATGGCACATGTGATTTGCATTATACAAGAGGTGAAATTAAATTACTTTAGTGGCCTCTTCCAGCCTAAGAGAGGCTGGAAGAACAGTTCTTGTATTTTAATGAGAGACTACTTTCTTTTAGTAGACTCTACTAAAAAAAACTCCTGTATGTAGACTGCAAAACAATTTCTGTATTGATGTATGAATCAGAAGTGAAATGTAACAATTCAAAACATTCATTATAGTAATTCTGACTCTAAAAAGGGAAAGAACTAGAAATAGAGAAATTAAAACATATGCAATATGTCAATGGACAATGGATGATTTTACTCTCTTAGTTCCAAGGTTTATATGATCCCAGATCACAGATGGCTGTTAGACAGGCAAGGGCACAAGGCAAACAGCACATCATGGCATTCACGCTCGTTTAAACAGATAAAGCTTCATGTGAGTTTTCAGAATTTAAAAAGAGGAGTGAAAACATTTCCTACCCCCAAGCCTTTGGCCAAGGCAGCTGCCCCTTGGCTATGGAAATGATTCCAGCTGATTTTAAGTTCCTTTAATCCAATGTTTTCTGCTATTGCCATTCCGAGAATTTCACCTAAGAAAAAAATACATGAAGCCAAACAGTTTCAGAGTTAAAAGGATTAAGTTTAAAAGGAAGCTCGGGTTAGTTTAGGTATTTCTGTGCAACTGTCTGCATTACCTCTAGGCAGGCAATTAAAACTACAACATACTATTTTCTTTTATACTTCATTTACCATAAACACAATGCAGAAACTGATGGACAATAAAGCGTATGTGTTCTCTGACCACAGGTTGCAAATGTATCAAAGAGGGAGAGAAAATCCAATCACCATATCGCAAAGCCAGGGTCTGCTACTCATGCTTGGAGTTCTGACTGCACAAGCTCATTCTCCAGCCTGATGCGAGTCTGAAAGCTGACACCAAGCAACCAGGTAGCTTCCCCCAGTCTCCCACTCTTCCCCAGCTCTGGCCTCCAGCCAGCTGAAGCCTGCTGGTGTGTTGGGCTGGCAGAGAAGCCAGCTCTGCTTTTTCTCTAACCCCTCCCAGAGCTCCTGTGCCAGTATAAAATCTGAATAGGTTTCCTCAGCAGGGCAAGTTTCCAATTGGGCTGGAAAGAAATGATGTTGTCAACCAGCACAGAAGAAAAGTCATTGCCATGCTTGAAGACCTCTGGAAGTCACTAGCAAGGAAGTCCCCAAACCACAACCTGTCAAGGGTGGCAGAGTATCAGGGAAGCACAATTGCCTGCTTGTTCCACTCTCACACCCTCCCCTCAGCACCTGCAATCACCTCTCAGTGACAGGGAGCTAGACAGAAGGACTGTTGGCAAACTCCATTCTGCTGGGTTTTTTCTGCTCTTATTAAGCATTTTACACACCTGTGAAAGCTGAAATAATGATCGAGAAAAACCACAAATGATAGTTCAGTGAAAGGAAGACCATCAGACCCTGGGAAGTAGGAAGAATGGGGAAAGAAACAGAAAAGGTAAAGCTTGCAGTGCTATAAGAAAAGGCAGAGAAAGAAGATGAATGAATTATCATAGCTTGACACCAGTTTTGCCTTCAAAGAGCCAAAAACACTTTCAGGAAACTGAAAATATTAACCAACCCTGCTCCCCAAAAGTCTGAGGCAGGCAAGCAACTCATTAAGCTCCATTGCTGAATGGCACAGCACCCCTCTCTGTGCAAGCTGCACAGACAGCACTTTACCTGCTTTGTCACCAAACATGTTGTAACTCAGATCCAGAATTTCCACTTTGCTGTTTGCTGTGATGGCATCTGCTAAATACTTTGCTGCATGATCATCAAATTCATTTCCTGAGAGCTGGAGGGACACAATTGTAGTATTTTCTAGAAGCATAGCGGAAAAGGCCTTAGCTCCTTCAACACCTAATTTGTTTGGGAAAGAAAAAACATTGTCAGATCATCAAATCATATCCTCTCAGATGCCAGGGAGACACCTGACCTCTATGCTGCAATGGCAGAAGCAGTGCCAGACTTGGAAAATAAGAATGCTGAACCTGGTCTAACGCAGTATTTTAGTAGGAACAATAGAACTTAATTTCTGAATTCACAGCCTGTCCCTAGGATAGGCTCATTCAAGTTTTGCCACATGAATATGGGACATGAGACAAAATTGCTCCTTCGTACAACCGTGCTTCCCACTCCAGGCACAACCTACAAACAGTCAGCAAAGTCCTAGCAGGTTTTTGGTTCCTCCTCATGGCTTGAAAAAAAGAGTGTAGGCTGGGAGAGACAGTGAAGCTAAATGTAACAACACGAATGGATGTGAAGACAGACACCGAGACCCAAATACGAAAGCATGAGCTTCTCTGCCCACCTACATACAGAATGAATTTTCCTAGCACAGAAGTAACAGAACCCTAAACCTCTAATACTGAATCCAATCACTAGAAAACAAAAACAAGGAAATTGCCTATTAACGAGGGTTTCACATCTTAGATCCTGTCCCATTCATCCATGACGACTTCCTGACAAAGCAGATTAGGGTTGCCTTAGTTAAAAGAGAGTTGTGTTCCCAGCTGTCTAAACTGACCATTGTTCTTTGTGAACAAAAAAAATGCTTCAGTGCAGTAGCCAGCATGACTTACAGTGAAGTTCTGCCTACATCGTAGCAGGGGCCTGGAGATTCAGACACTGAAATGAGGTTAATGCAAGTGCTGGAAAATGTGACACAGAGACAGGACAGGGGCTCCACACAGACTCGTCCTGGGTCTCTGCTCTGTGCTCTTCACACAGAAGCACGGCACAGGGACACCTAGACTGCCTCCACAAGTAACAACCTCAGGTTTGGCAGGGCTATTTGGTGCTTCTGGGTACATGCTGCCACAACCAGCTGTATCCCACCGAACAGCCTTCACTGCACCTCAGCTCTGCGGAGCCAGCGCAGGACCCTGCCCCATGTAACCCAGATAACCCAGATAACCTGTCCACGTGTAACTGGGTGTTGTCACTTAAATTATGAAAGGCAGGAATATCGACCCTGGAAAAGCAGGGACTAAAACCATGATCTCTGGATACAACACTGCCTGACTGAGACTTAAATTCAGGAAGCGCTGCTCTGCTTCCGCTCTCTCTATCTGTAGTATCCGTAGTCTAATACTACAGAGGTATTAGACACGTGAAATGTCCCTGGGAAGAGCAGATGTGTGCTGCTGCTAGAACACAGGCTTGCCGATTCACTCTAGATCGGCTTCTCTTCCACCTGTCCCTACTTAGAAGGCCCATTTTCTTAGATGCCAATCGTGCAAATTCAACTTACAAAGCTTTAACCATTACTAACCACATCCTCTACATAGTGTAAGTTTCAGGTGGATGTTTCTGATCCACAAAGCAGAAACTTGCTCTTTCTCCTGGCTTTCCAGCAGCTACACAGGAATAACAGGACTGGGCTGACTCCAGTTAGTGGCATCCTAACTTCACAAAAGTAAATGCTATGAAAACAGGTGGAGAAAGGTGACAAAGCAGCACAGTTTTAAACACTCACTGTTCAAATAGTCCCCCAGTTCTGGTAGCCTTTTCACACCAGAGTCACTATGACAGCAGGACTGGTTAAATCTACAAAGAAGCCAGCACAATTTCTTCCTCTACAGCAGAAAGTTTACCAGAAAACGGCAGATGGGAGAACACAAACCTGAAATGTAGCAGTTTTCTTTCAGCATCTCCGCAATTGCAGCTGCCCCTTTGCCCTGCAGCCAGTTGTCACTCAGGTCTAACGTGAGGATAGAAGTATCAACCATCAAGGAAAGAGCTAGAGCCTTGGCACCCTGCAACAAAAAAACAAAAGGGTCATTTACAGTTTCACTGGGTTCACAGAGTTCTTGTGAATGTTTCTGGTTCAGCTCCCCTTAGTCTGGCAGGGCGCAGGGGGATTTCACAAAGCCATCATCAGAATTGTGCAAAAACCCTTCCAAAACCATTTAAAGCTAGGCTGGAAAAGCAAATACTGAATATGGTTTAATACATTTCATTTTATTTTTATTACTAAAGAATTATTTTCTCCTTCCATAAAAATGATGAAAAATACATCTGCTGTCAATATTCATGACACAAAGGAAAAGGTTCAGACCTGCTATGCCTGACGATGTACCACTCTGGACATCGCTTCTACCTGGCAGTCTGTGAGTACAGCCATAGTAAGCACCCCTTTAGTTCGCTTGTGGCTGCTCTGAATCCTGATCTCATCATTTAAGAAGACTGTGTTGTGCCAGTATCCTGATCTCTGTCAGTGGGAATTCTTGATTTCAAAAATATTTACAATTAAATAGAAGTACGGCAATGACCTTGTGATACTGCAAAATCAAATTATTTCTTCCGGCCTTGAATATCAGACACAGGACAATGAACTGTAAGAGACCTCAGAGAACTATTCCAGATAAAATAAACTTAACAAAAAGGTTTATCACCAAAAATTAGTATGAAAGGCTGCACCCTTTTCACGATCCAAACTACATATTTTTAAAATGCCATGCCCACTGAAAGCAGCTTTCATGGGTGGGACGACTAATGCATCAACGTATGAAAGGTTTATAATTTCTTCCTAACAATATTAATTTAAAAAATGTAGAGTATCCCAGGGGAGACAACACACACTCAGGACACCTTCACAACCCAGAGGGAAGAGGGGTAATAAGACACCTGCACAACCCATCCTCCCGCCTCCCCTCCCATGTCCAGGGAAGGAGATGACTCCTGTTCCTGAGCCCAGCAAAACAATCTGCTGAGAAATCCCCACCGCTCGCCAAACACCAGACCTTGTGTGGCGTAACACTGGCCCCTGACTGGTATCTGAACTGCCAAGCAAGGCAGGCAGAAAAGGGTCCTTGATGTGTTCTTGACATAAAACTTGTGTTGCTCTGATACCCAGAGGAGTTAGAACTGTGTCTTCGTCAGTGGGAAAGACAACACCAACAGTCCCTAAGTTGGGGCGTTTGTACACATTTCTGGTTCTGGCAAGGGACCACAGCTAAGGGTGATGGCCGGGTGATGGAAGTGTCTGCCACGGCTGGCTGAAGGGGTTCGCAAGCTTTTTTTTAAAGCCCCTCTGACACCCTAGACCCCCGCAGCGGGTGGCCCTCACGCAGGGTGACGGTGCTGCCATCCCTCACCCGTGGGCCCAGGCCACGGTGCCGCAGGCTGAGCATGGGGCCTGGTGTGCGCCGCAGGAAGCTAGAGGCCGGAGTCACGCCGCAGGTCCGGCATGCAGCCAGGTACCAGCTCTCTCCCA